CAACCTACAAATATGTAATTATCTTTTTAACATAAGCTAATTCCTTTGTGGTGCGTGATGTTAAGAAGAAATGACATTTGAACAGCTTTGATGATTTTAAACGAAAAATTGCTTTGAAAAGATGTCCAATAAAAACAGAATTTTAGACAGATTTAGTAATTGTCAGAAAAAACAGATTTTACTCTGATATCCTTTAAATATCATTATTTCAGAATTATTTAAATTTTTTTAGACATGATTTAAGATGAGATAAATCCGAGAATAAAATCTTATTGTCTGAAAACCGTATTTCGTTTTACATCAACATTATTTAAACAGTTTCTTAGATGATGTGATGATTTTGTTTAATGTTAGCTCAACGTGCACATTTATAAGTGTGGAAAAGAATAAATAAGAGAATTGAAGGTAAATAGATCAACAATATTGAATTCATATTGAAACAAATGACGAGCATTAAAGAACAACAAGCGCAAAAGTAAAAGAACTTTTTAATCAATTGTTACTAAAAGATGAATTCAAATGTACACAATAACATACGTCAGTTGACACAATTGTTTTGCGCCTGAAATATTTCAATGTCAGTGTCTGCAGTGTTTATTGATCATTGCTGAATATTCAATATTGTTCTAAATAAAATTGAAGATGACTTTTGAAGTTTAATTGTTTAAGAATAAAAATCAAAAATTCTTTAGTTTGCAAAATTACTACCAAATTTATTTCGATAACTTTTAAATAGTTTCAAAGTTACCGTGAGCAAACACGTTGGCATTCAGCTTCGGTTTCGAATCTATTATCGTTTCCATCACAGCCACCATAGTCGAACATTTCACATGCATTTCCGTTGTAATACCAACTGGGGAATACAGCATCGCATGGGCCAATATCTTTGGGTAGCGAGCATACTGTTAGATAATTTTTGTAATAAGAAAGTTTTATTAAATTAAGTTCCAAAATATTTTATTCTAATAAAAATAAATTACCATCCACGGGCACACATCTTGGAGAAGCACTGCAAACTATACAAAATTAATCTTGTTAGCAAGTCTTCATTTTATTTTCGATTTCTTACCTGTCAAGACAATTGCAACAATCAAGAATTTCAACATCATTTTGTTAGATAATTCAACTTTAGTTATCAACTGCCGAGTTAAAGAATTAAAAGTGACTGCGAATTTAGTCTTCGAAAAAGACGTATTTATACAAAAATACAATTTTCATGTGAAAACTTGGATCACTCGTATCAGCCACATAGAACCAGTCCGTTATTATATCATCTGTATTGGTTATTAATGCTCTTCAGGAAGTTTTTTCTCTGAGTTATATTATTAATTTCAAATGTTCTTTCGTGTTGAACAATATAATTTGACATAATATTTGTAAGCAATTGTTATTGCTTTGACGTTCTGTTTTATATCTTAATTTCACATCTTGACGATATTTGCTTACAGCGCCATCTTCTGTGTAACACCGATATGATTCTTATTCAGCCGAGACACCAACATGAATTTTCTTCTTTATGAATTTTCTTCTTTATGATTTTCAACTCGAAAGCATAAATGCTTTTCAGCGTTAATTAATCAAGATTTATACTAATTTTAATAATAATATTTTAATCAAAAATATAAGAATTATTCTGAAAAACATAAGTTCCTAAATAATTTCATGATTCTTTATATCATAAATAATTAAGTTAGCCAGACCGTGATAAAATTTTTGATCAAGATAACAGGCTAAGCAATGCGTTGAAGGTGTCTTCATATCCCTAATATAATTATGATGACCCATCAGATAACGACACTTATTCATTCTTATTATGATGATTATAACATATATCATGGTAGAATTGCTTATAATTTAGATAGAAAAGTAAAGGATATTTCAATTTGATGATTATCTTCTTCATAACGATGTGTTAAATTAATTGGTTAACACAACCGGAAGTTTGTTTCATCGATAGGTACAACAACAATCAACCGACAAATATGTAATTATCTTTTTAACATAAGCTAAATCCTTTGTGGTGCGTGATGTTAAGAAGAAATGACATTTGAACACCTTTGATGATTTTAAACGAAAAATTGCTTTGAAAAGATGTCCAATAAAAACAGAATTTTAGACAGATTTAGTAATTGTCAGAAAAAACAGATTTTACTCTGATATCCTTTAAATATCATTATTTCAGAATTATTAAAATTATTTAAACAGTTTCTTAGATGATGTGATGTTTTTGTTCAATGTTAGCTCAACGTGCACATTTATAAGTGTGGAAAAGAATAAATAAGAGAATTGAAGGTAAATATGTAGATNATAAATTATACCATCCACGGGCACACATCTTGGAGAAGCACTGCAAACTATACAAAATATATAAAAATACAAAATTAATATTTAATTTTGTTAATAAGTCTTCATTTCAGTTTCGATTTCTTACCTGTCAAGACAATTGCAATAATCAAGAATTTCAACATCATTTTGTTGGATAATTAATTTTAGTTATTAACTGCTGTGTGAAAGAAATAAAAATGAATGCGAAATTTGTCTTTGAAAACGACGAATTTATTACAAAAATTCAATTTCATGTGAAAACTTGGATCACCCATATCAGCCACATAGAACCAGTCCGTTATTACATCATTTGTATTGGTTATTAATTGCTCTTCAGGAAGTTTTTTCTCTGAGTTATATTATTAATTTCAAATAATTTTTTGTGTTGATCAATATAATTCGTGATAATACTTGTAAGCAATTATTACTGTCATTGACTTTCTGTTTTATATGTTGACGATATTTGCTTACAGCGCCATCTTCTGTGTAACACCAATATGATTCTCATTTAGCAGAGGCACCAACATGAATTTTCTTCGTCATGATTTTCATCTCGAATGAATTTATATTTTTCAGCGCTGATTCGTCAAGATTTAGAAAGATTTATGAAAAACATAAGTTCCTAAATAATTTCATAATACTTTACTTAAATAATTAAGTTAGCCAGACCGTGAAAATTTTTTTTATCAAGATAACAGGCTAAGCAATGCGTTGAAGGTGTCTTCATATCCCTAATATAATTATGATGACCCATCAGATAACGACACTTATTCATTCTTATTATGATGATTATAACCTATATCATGGTAGAATTGCATATAATTTAGATAGGAATGTAGAGAATATTCCAATTTGATGATTATCTTCTTCATAACGATGTGTTAAATTATTTGGTTAACACAACCGGAAGTTTGTTTCATCGATAGGTACAACAACAATCAACCTACAAATATGTAATTATCTTTTTAACATAAGCTAGATCCTTTGTGGTGCGTGATGTTTAGAGAAAATGACATTTGAACACCTTTGATGATTTTTAACTAAAAATTGTCTTAAAATGACAACCAATAAAAATAAAAATAAACTTCATCCTTGATGTGAATCCTTTCCTTCACTTCCTTTTATTCTTTAACTTTTAAAAAGTGAACTTTACATATTTTAATTAATTATGTTGTTGCTTTACATCAAATCTTCTATTAATTATTGCTTTACAAACACATTCATTTCTTATGTTCATTAAATTTCAAAAAAGATTTCTTGAGCATTTGATTGAGAAAAGCGAGAAGAAAATTATTTTAATGAGAATTTTTGTTGAATTTCAAGAAATGTAAAACTAAAAATTTTATTCAGTTAATTTGAGTCAATAAATGAGTAAAATTATTTATAAGAGTGCTAATTAACTTAAATAATCTCAACACTATTTGATTACTTAATAAGTTAAACAATTACACAATCGTCAAGTTCTTATTTATATTCTCCAAATGTTCTTTTGCTTTAATTCTCAAAGCGGCGATAGAATTTGTTCTAATGTCGGTTGTTGCAGATTGTGGACTGACTGTCATGTTTATTTCTGTTATGTCGTTGCATGAGATCTCATCAGAAGTATCAACATTCAAGTCAGTTGACTTTTTGTCCGGAGATGGTGATCGTAAAGCTAAGTTTTGTAATGGTGATTGTTGGATATTAGCTGTTGATGGGCTCATAGTGGCTGATGATGTTTGCGGCATCATTTGGATTGAAGAAGCTGCTGTAGAAACAGGTAAAGATGAAGGTGGCAAATGTGAGGGTGGTGGGATGCTTTGAGGTGAAATTCTCAGCCCTCCGTTATGATGCTGATGTGCCATCATATTAAGTTGACTCATATTAATGTTCGAGTGGTTTAAGCTAAGTGGTGGAGTCAGGTAACTTGGGTAAACTGTTTGTGGATGTGATAAAAATCCTAAAATATTACGAAAATCTTCGGATCAGTTTCGTGTGGATAAAATCAATTCAAAATTTGTTTTTAATACAAACCTGGTAAAGCAGAAAGCAAAGGCGGCGACAACCATGGATCTACAGGCATATTTCCATTGCATCCTAATCGATGTGGTAACTGGGAGAAATGTGACAAACCCAATCTAAGACTCTCAGATTTTTCCTGACGACGCCATTTTGCCCGACGATTCTGTAAAATAAAATTTTATTAGAAATTTCATTCATGTTGCTTTAAAGCATAAAATATATTCGTGGATAATTATCGAATCCTACCTGGAACCAAACCTGGAAAGAAGAAAAACAAATAAAACAATTAATTATCGTGAATATCAATTTCATTTCGGGAAAATATGTCACAAATTGTCATCACTCTTGAATTAATATTCATTAGAATTCCTAATGGAAAAATGATGTTAATTGTGTTGTAAATTAAAGTCAACATGGAAATGGTTTGAGTATAAATACCTACTGTTTAATTTGTTTTATTGATAGTTTTATGCTTCGATTTGAATTATTCTAAATCCCTGGTTTATGTGATTCAGGGGTTCAGAGAGAAATCTTGCAATTAAGTTGCAAATTCAATCGTCATAAATTTAAATTTTGTTTGAGTTTTCTTAGTTAGTTAAAAGTTTCAAATATGATGCAAACTTTTCTTCTTTCATTAATAATAATCATTGATGAATAACATCAGATTAGTTCCATTATGGATCGATCCCTCGAGAAACTTCAAGTCAAAACGATTTGATTAACTGCAAGCTGATGACGTTTCACTTTTTTTTGCAATAAAATAAAATTTTATTCGCAATAATGACTAAGTTTATAACACCGTTCATCAGTACAAATGGTCAGTTTTCCTGAATGTAAAATTCCCATGGAAAACATCATGAAACAAAGCAAATTTCAATTATTTTCCTTTATTATGAAAGGCAAAACACGATGGAAATTAAATCTTCAATTTAATTTCATTTCCCCAAACCATGAAAAAGCTTTTAATAGGAAAACATCCCACACGATGCCATTACACAATTTTAATGAATGTCGAAAGAAAGAAAATCTATTAGAGAAGCATAAACTTCCATTAAAAAAGAAAAACATCATTAACTGTTGCCACAGAAGGGAGCAAATGGTGAAGATGGACGTTGGGGCAAAAGCAAACAATTATCACATCTAAAATAATCTGTTTAGCCAACATGTGACAGCTTAGAATGGAATACAAATATCTCATTCTACCTTCAATTTCTCCTATTTTAATTACATCACGTTACGATTGTCATTTAAAGAGAGTTCACAACATCGCATAATATTGCAAAAACGACGAAACTATTTAATCATCGAGCTAAACTGCCTCATTGGTCTAGTGGTCAGGTGTCGGAATTAAATGCAAGTGTACTCTTGCAGGTCCCAGGTTCGAGTCCTGGCATGGACAAAAAATTATAATGAGGTTTTAAGAAGTTTAGATACTTCGGCTTGATAATTAAAAAAGTTTTTCGCCAACAGGAAAGCGAGATATAGAGATAAAACAGATTTGAAATCCCTTTGTATCGATTTAATATGCATGCATATTAAGGAAAACAATGAGAGAATTCATACTGAAAAAAGGCTCTATGGAACTGTACTGAAAGCGAAACAACTCTCTCTCCCACTAATCTCGAGTATGGGACGAGTAAATCCCTCTCCGTGAACTTCTGTAAAAAGGCTTGTCTGTTGAAGTACTCGCGTTGAATTTTACTAACAGTCTTACAAATTGTTAAAAATATAAAGAAAAGAAATTCAATAAAATTCACACATTTTTTTTTTTTTT